AAATTTTATTTTGAGTCACTAATTTTACACCGAATGTTAGTTTCACCTTACACATTAAATAATGTTAATGTATGTATGTATGTATATCATTCTCCTCGAAGTCCTTTAGGCCGAGGCAGACAATAAAATAATAAAGAATAACTTTTTAAAATAATACGCATAAAGTGATTTAAACTGCAAAAAACTACACAACATTTACATTTAATTAAATATTCTTAACAATAGTTAACTAGTATTAAAATGAAACAAAAACAAGAAATATATTATTCAGAAAATAATAACTTTAAAAATACACAAAAATTAAGTCATCGTCACATCAACGCATGGAAATTACAATCTTCAGAATTAATTACTAAATAATTGCATGAAGGTGCAATGTCAGCCGTACATGCGCACACGCCGCTTGTAGGACCTGACAGGGGAAATGAGGGGAGGAGGGAGCGAGTGTTAATAGGACAGTACGTGTAATAAAACAACAATTACACACAGAAAATAAATACAGCAACATTTCCATCACAAGTGAGGTGGTTTACATTTAATCAAGTACGTAACCTTGCGCGTGCGCATAATGCCAAGTTGAAGGAGGGAAGTGAGTGGGGAGAGCTCTCACTGTGTCGCAGACAGACAGATAGATCTTGTTACCTTGTTATATTATTGTGTTAGTACATCTGGTAATGTGTCAGATTATATTTCCATCATAATTGTAAATGTAGATTATAACTTATGCTTCGGAATTTCTTTTCTCGTAGCCGCTACGCCGTAGCAAGCTCGTAGCACGTGCGGAAAATATTAAATAGGTCAGTCTACGTCACGCATGCAAATTATATTAATATTTTATTTTGATGAGATGGTACGGTGCGATTGCGTTTCGGATTCTAGTTTTCAGTAACGGTTTCAGTTGTTTATGAATAATAATCATAATTATACCAATGCAGTATTCTAGAAATATCATGATATTACAAATTTGAAAGTTTCTTTCTTTGGATGTTTGTCCGTCAATCACGCTGTAACTTCAACCAGTGAACGAATTTTGATGAAATTTGGTATACAGGCAGGGTACGGGATGTCTCAGGTAATAAGGATTTTTATCTCGATTAAATGCTCCCATGCGATAATACTGGAATACGCGGGCAAAGCCGCGGGTAAAAGCTAGTTACGTAAAATAAATGAAAACGTTAGAACTGTGTGAACGGAATTACTTCACGGTTTGGCAAACTGCTGACGTCACTAGTTCGTGTCTGGGTCCTTAACCTCCAAATGGGTTATATATACATACATTATACGTAGGTATATATTTTAATAAATATACGTATCAGTACGGTGCATCTTACTAATGTAAATTAAATCACATAGGACTGGCAATTTAGAGCTAGCTATCGACTATTGCTTATATTTATTATGCTTATTACTAATAGTCCCGCTCAGTTTGACCCGCTCTGCTCGCCTCCTATTCATCGTAGTGTGATGTTTTTTTATCTTTTTAGTACATATAAAGCTCAAGAGGTTGTTTTGTTTAATGCGCCGATATCTGGAACCTCTAGTCCGATTTGGATAATTCTTTTTGTGTTGGGTAGTGTATTCATTGAGGAAGACTATACGATATATCACGCTACGACGTAAAGATTAAATATAAGATATAATATAAGTCATAAATCGAATCTGTGAGAAACCAGCGATACTACATATTGTAAGTATAAATAGCCTAGTCTAAGTTAGGCAGCATACACACAATACCACTCTATACGCCAATATAAAACGTATTTTTTTAAGAGGGAAAAATCATCGAATGACTGCTCCCGCCTGGGTGAGGCGGGAGGGAATTTCTGACTCTTAATGACTAAAAACCACCCCGTTCCTTCTCCTGCACGTCGAGCCGGAGCCCCGGTTACCCGTTAAGTTCTCCGCGACAGTATAAAACGTATAGTGATTCAATATTACATAAAGTTACGCAAAGACTTTAATATTGGAATACCATAATAGACGAATATTTCGGTCAAGCTTACGGTCACAAGCAAATATGACCAAGAAGGGAATCTAACCCACGACCTTATACACAAAAGGAGTTATCGTTATTTGGCTATGGCTACTATGGCGTAGTATAAATCTGACACGACATGGCTCAGGTAATTAAATCTATTATTTTTTACTAATATATAAGGCTCAAGAGATTAATTGTTTGTTTGTTTGAAGGGACCAATCCGATATTACTAATCCGATTTGAATAATTATTTTTATGTTGAATAGTCGGTATATCGAGAAAGGCCATAAAAGGCTAAAAATATCACGCAGTTATCTATAAAAGCCGAGCAAAGCGGGATTAACTACCTAGTCTCCTATACGTTCGTGTCCTTTGTAATGAATATTATTAGATAGTCATAAAACGATGTTTGTGTGAAACCCCGAATACATTACTGGTTCGGTTCCGTCAAGGTCCTTATTCTAATGTGGACAGGTTTCAATGTAACGCGTGCGAGGTCGCAACTGTTTAGGGAGTTGGGAAGTGGGCTGGCGGGAAGGTAGGTCACATTTTGGATGACTGTACTATTAGCTGTTACTGATAACTGGCACTTGCATCAAACAATCTTCCATAATGCCTTTCTTTTTTGCCCTCCACGTCTTGTATGTTAATTATACACAGAATAAATGATTCCTAATTAATGATTGTATATATTTAATGGGTGAATGCTAATTAGTGTCAAACGCTGTTCTTAAAATTATTATTACTCTTGGCCTAGGCACTCGTGATACTTCTGGTGCAGCAGAAGTGTACTAGTATATATTTAATAAGGAATGGTTGTATTTCCATACACCTGTCACAATGTCGGAGCCCATGCTGTCACTAAGAAATTATACGAAAGAAGCTTCGAAAAATTCTTTGTCCGGTTAAGAAACTGAACCCGAGTGCTTTTGCTTGACAGTCGCAACTCGCATATATGTGATTACTCAACCGAGTACCGAGTCATATTCATATAATATATTTGTGGGTTTTAAGCGCGCATTGTTCTCCTAACTGTAAAGTTTCCGAACTTTCCAGATACTGCATTAAGGGCTGATTTTTCAATCATCAATGAATTCATAATTATTCATTAATGATCTTCAAGGCCCGAGTGAAAACGTTGCATAAGTGACGACGTGCTCCATCGTAGACCGCATCATTGCTTACCACCAGGCGAGATAGTGGTCAAACGTCGAACAATTAAATAAAAAAATCTTAACTGTAAAATAAAATTGACATTTGACAGTTTTTAGTATGAAAGAATTGTCGAATATTCAAAGTTCCTCAGTTAAAATTTATCTGGCGTTGGAAAAATTGGCCATTATGGCTTAATTTAAAGGGCATTGACTAAAATTGATGCCTTTCTTTTTTCTGGCAGTCGATGATTTATGGAAAATATTATCTAGAATTATCAGTAATTACAAACGAATTTGTCTATGGGCTCATATATGGAAATCTCAGTCTGGACTGAGTTATAAGCGTTGAAAGGAGCTGGAATCAAACATTTTACTTTCGTTTTTTTATTCAAATTATTCATATTTTTGTCACAATTTAAAGTCAAAGTCAAGTCAAAGTCAAAATCATTTATTTCAATTAGACCAGGATGGCACTTTTGAACGTCAAACAACAAAAAATTATAAGTGAAGCTAGTTCGTTAAGGCTAGCACGCTAGCCAATCAAACGAAATGTTTTTTTTTCTTCAGCAGTGGTCAGTTAATGGTTCACTCTGTTCTGATTCCGTGGCCCTATAACAAAAAAAAATGAATAACAAACATTAAAAATTATTATAAAAGTCCACAATAAGCTTTATTATATTCCTTGAAATCGTCTATAAACATTTATTACAAAATATTTCTGACAAGTAAATGAAGAAATATGCGTTGTGTACGGTCACCATCAACAAAACCACAGGAATTATATAGCACTATTTTTACATCTTTGAACTGATTTAATTCGGTTTGGACTGTGTTTTTGATATAAGACCCCATACATTTTTTGTTTGTAATGTCATTCTGCATCAGTTTTTCCACATCCGGTCAACTGTCGCGAAAAAATGAAAAGGCACCACGCTCCATACAAATTTGGTCATTGTCATTTAACAGACACATATAATCATATGACAGTTGTAACATTCCTCACTTACATCCCAAGAAGTCGGTGAACTTCCTCCACAGCCCCTCACTTGTAAGCTAATCATATTTATTTAAACATATAAAATGTTCTCATAATTATATTTATAATTAATTCTAATTTCTTATAATTAATTAATATTTTTCTGAAAATATTATTTAAATTGACACTAAAACTTGTCTATGGTTTATGTTTTTTTTATGGTGGTGGGTAGCAACACTGGAAAAAATGGCGCGAATTTACGAGAGCAGTTGGGCGTCGAAAGAAGGAATATGTTTATTGGTTTTTATTGTCAAACATTGTAAAGTCAATAAAGGTAAAGTACTTTTGTGGATTAAAATCTGTGTTTAGTTTTCACACTGAAGTCGCCCAATATACTCGCCCAATATACCACAGAACGTATTAAAAAGGTGAGACAGTAATAAACACCATACATTTTAATATTTTACCATTAGTTTATATTGAAAGGATACTTTACAATGTCGCTAACAATATTATTGCGGGTTTATTGTCTCGGGTGTGTAGGTAATTGATTTGTCAGTTTGTGTTCATGTCATGTCTTATCCTGCTACTTTACATTAGTCGTCATTATTATCATTTAAATGTATACGTATGAATGTATAATTATAGGTATATCTACATACATAAAGTCAGGACACGTCAAGGATGTAAATAGAATAGAATTGAAAAAAAAAAAAGAAAGAGGATCTCAGTTTGACCCGATGTTTGTAAGTGAGTATGTTTGTATGTTCGTGTGTCATTATCTCACGATTAGCTGAATCGATTTTGATGCGGTTTTGTTACACTTAGGAGCAGGAAGTTTTATCAAACGTAGTTTATAAAAGATAATTATATAAATTAAACTGATACGTCTAGAGACAGTAGCAACGACTAGTGTATCAGGTCGGTCAGCTACCTTTGCAGTGCACGGCTTGCTTGCACGAGGTATAAGACAGGCAGAGTGCAATACAAACGCGAGTGCTTTCCCAAATTCAGAAGCTCGCGGCCGTGACATTGATCGCAGTAGCATGACACACGCTGCTGGCTGACCGTCCGCTGTACTGGACTAGACTGCATTACTAGGTGCTGCGGAGTGGTGGCCGAGTGTCGTGTGCAATCAGCGGACACTTTCATTGAAATTATCAACTTTATACACACGACGTGAGTAAAGTTGCAGCTTTATTATGTGACTCTCGAGCGCCCCATGATCTTGGTATTCTGAATCATGTTCACCATAACAGTTGGAATATTTCCATCCTAATTTTGTCAGTCAATGTCAAGTCGAGCTTAATTTAAGTGAAGCAGTGTGTGGCATTGATGTAGTTGTGGTAACAGACGCGGCTCGTGGTCGGCCTGCAGTGTCCCGCACGCGACGCGCCCAGCTTCACGCACAGCTTGCACTGCTGACTACTGAGAGATGACGCGCAGGGTGCTGTCAGCGCTGCTGCTGCTGCTGACGACGTCGGCGCCGGCATTAGCTAGAGATGTTACCGGTATGTTACATTGCATATTTTCCTTAATATCAGAGCTTTAAGAATTTTAGATTATTTTGTATATTCATTAACGTTCAGTTTGTACTTTTATACTACTCGAATCTAATTCTGATGAGAGATAGAATTCGCTGTAAAATATCGATCATAAGTTATCATTAATGTTCATTATTGTGACTTCTTTTTACTGTGAGATCTTCCGGAGTAGTCACTTGGTGTTTAATTATGATAGGTACTACCCAAGTATTATTATAATAGACATGGTTGTGTGGTGACAACGTTTAGTATTATTATTGCATTATACTCTCCCGTATAATTATTATTGTCTGTAACATACCAATTGTGCCCTACCCTGTACCCGGCGTCACGTTGTACGTTGCTATTATTACTAGGAAACAAGTTCAGTGTCACGTGTCCACCACCACTGAAGAACTATATAGTACCTACAGGTTTTGTGTTACTCGGAACGGAACTTAAACCCGGCGCTGTGCGGTCCTCGGCCTTAACATTATCGGTGGTATTATCGAATTTTTTTTTTTTTTTTATGGCATAAGCCGGTAAACGAGCAGACGGATCACCTGATGGTAAGCAATCGGCGTCGCCCATTGACACCTGGAACACCAGAGGCGTTACAAGTGCGTTACCGGCCTTTTGGAGATTAGGAGTTTGAGGATCGTTGGGGATTCAGGAATTGGGGAGATTGGGGAAGGGAAGGATAATTGGGCCTCCGGTAACCTCACTCACACGACGAAACACAACGCAAGCGTTGCTTCACGTCGGTTTTCTGTGAGGCCGTGGTATCACTCCGGTCGAGCCGGCCCATTCGTGCCGAAATTTCGATACAATTCTGCAGTATTACATAAATGGCCGCCCACTACTGGGGGCAAGGTTGAGTGCTTGAGTCCCCCGTGTTTGGTCTCGTATTTACCATAACATTATGGTAAGATTAGACAATGTACGTAATCCTATAGTATAGGTTGGTAACGATTTACTTAATTTTGTTTGTTTATTTAATATGTGTTTATTTCACTGGTAGGTTTCTGTACGTGGTGTATTTACGGGGTTCGGATGCCATTCGTAGAGGGAGCCACTGTGTCATGCGGTGTCAACGTCTAGAGCGGGATCAATATTGTTACATAAGCATTGAGCAATCCTAACGCAGGCTAACCGTTTACCATGTTTCCTTGTACCACCAGCAAACCAGTGCTTACGTGTTAGGTACACTGTGTACCAGTCCTGCCATAATTATACTCATTGCACTGACTGAGCCCTTTTCACCTGATTATTTAATTTAAGACAATTATCATTTTTGCCTAGACACCTATTTTCGTCCGTCATACTGTCAGTAAATCTGAATTTGGATCTTATCATTTGTAATTGTAGGTTTGAAATCACCGATCCGTCTTGAGCGATTAATGGTTATTCCTTCTCCGTGTGAGAAGAGACGTTTAGAGGCTGATGATGATGTTCATGATGATCACTATTACCCTTCAATAAACATTAGGGTGCGTCCACATCTAGCCAATGCTCCGTGAATGAATCGCTAGATGTAGACGCACCCATAGATCAATTAATATTTAAATATACGTATTAATGTCCTGAAGGTACGAATAGACTACGACACTACAAACTCAGTGTATAAATCGAATGTTTCTCTATGAACACGAGTGTCTGTAATTGGAATACTTATTGTGACACGATGATTAGTATCGCCGTCTTATGCCGTCATCTGCCGTCATCTGCCGTCTTATGACCCGTATAAGTGTGAGCAGTACAGACATTAATATCTGTCATTTATATAACAATTAGTGTTGAAGTCTATTCGAACCTTAATATTTCTGATTCCCACTCGAGAGCTATCAAGTAATTTAGAAGGCTAAATATAGATAATAGAAACGTGTATTCTAATCAGAAATTAATGTGGCTATCTAAAGGTTTATTGATATATTTGAATAATTACCTGATACTTTACATACAGATTTATAATCAATTAAAAAAAAACAAAATGCCTACTGCATAAATAATATTTATCTAAAGGAATCTCATCAAGTTCAGTCCTCGAACATGTTATATTATTATTTTTGCATTCATTTCGATCTAGCCTAGTTAGAATAATTTAACATACCTATTATATCTAATAGGTACTTGGCATAATTTACATAAATTACTATTTATTCATTATGTATGTAGAAAACTGTTCCGTTGTTTGTGACCGTCTTGTGACTGAGTAAGCCAATAAAAGTTGGAAATATTTTAGTAATGCGACAAATGAACTTATGTTTTTATAATAACTATCGTGAAACATACTGAATCAACTGGCGATGTCGCGCAGCCTACTGATTTCGCCGCGACGACGGCGCAATCTGCTCATGAGGACTCCCTCTGTGACTCGAAATTAGTAGAGCTCTTCTCAGTATATTTACGTGAGTAAGTCGTTATTTTTAGTTAGTGAAATTATGTTTTTGATGTGATAGGTCTGAAAACCAAACGTATCATAATTTAGTGATTTATCATGGCTCAGGTTCGAACATAAGTTCCTTACATAAAAATATTAAACCTGTATTTCACGTTCAAATAAACAAAAATACAATCGCATTAAACAGAACTTTCTGCATTTTGAATCCACAAACAAATATAATATGTTGAATTGTTGAGATATTAATTTGATATGAGTTTAATATATGCGAAAGAATGCAACATCTGGGTGTAATAGCGAGCAACACGCGGTGTAGTTGCGTTAGCGCCGGTCCCGGTACCGTAAGGCTGAGTGCACACTGGGACAATACTCTATCACCATTTCTGTACACATCATGAATGTCATAGAAAGAATAAACAGACTTGCCGATCAGTGCCAAACTGGTTGGCAAGTTTATCCCAATAAGACAGTACACTGAACGATATAGCATACACATACGTACAGATAAGTTTTTCTTATACATCCATTATATCATTTGTTTGTGTGATGGACTAGAAGAGCGAATCCCAAGGCAATGTCAGGCTGGTAACATTACAGGGTGTATCGAATCTGTTATGAATGAACTCGAGGCACATCTTAATGAGTGTGTGTTTGTTTGTATGTGCTCGGCTGTACAGCGTAGAATCATAGATAATTCGACGTCTGGCATTGACCCGGTTCCACCAGGTTTGAGCAACACCCCACAACTAGACATTCCCTGCCATCGCACGAGAGCTCAGATGTTACACACTACTAGAATTCTGTAACAAATTGTTCCAGAAGTTTCTAAAGCAGTCTGGTGTAAAGAACTCAAAAGTTATTCGAATTCTTCAGTTCGAGGCAAATACCTATATAGTACAATGACGTAGTCTGTGCAAAAGTTATTAGAAGAAAACTGGACAACCATGAGATCACTACATGTATTATACCTCTATATATGTATATATGTGCGTCATACATACTTTACAATTTAGATAGATAAATACACGAAATTCCTCCCAAAATGTATTAGTACATTTACGTTACAATGTATGCAATACATATGCACAGTGCATTGTTCTTAGTCCATCCAAGACATGCACTAATAAAATGAAGTAGGTTAATAACACAAAACCTGGAGCTCTGAAGATATGACTACCTATGTAATAAATGACCAAATAATAGCTAAATATTGTAGATAAATATTGACTGTGGTGCCATCTACCATATCTTAAATGTTTTGTTACCAATGTCCGTTAACATGATCATAATACAAACAGGAAACCATATTCATTCAGTAAGTATTACTTTACACCGCGGAAACAGACAATTATATCCACTTACTTATTAATTTAATGCACATGACGGTGTTTACTTACTCGTGAGATATGGTAAAATGATTTCTAGAATAAATAAACAGTAAAATGTTACATAGGCAGTGCCGCGTCGAACTGTCAGCTGATCGCAATCTCAGTGGCCGGCCGCTCCGGCCGCTCGCCTGTCACCGCACCTCGCACTCTCCTACATATTTTGTAAATAAGCAAAAAGTAAATATGAGCAACATGGCGTGATAAACACGTACCTTTATTTTTAATGAATCATCTGTTTTATTTGCGGAACTTGAGCTGCATTGCTGCATATGTAATACTGCACATATTGCATTGATCTTATGTACTACTGAACAAAGAAAATTGAAAATATGTATCGTGCATATACAGGATGCGAGCCGGTTGTGTGTGCAGTTGACACTTTCTAACTTGGCGAATTGATTTACAAATTATAAAATCGCAATAAAACTACCGCGAGCCATAATTAAATGTGTTATCCTAATCACTGGAATCTTGGCTGTCCTTGATGGGATTTATGACATCCGTAATGTCTCCGAGGTATGAAGCAATCTGACCGTGCGCTGCAAGATGTGACAGTGTGATGGTGATAGTCTGTTCAACTTTGCCATGGACACCGGTAATGTGTGTGTGTGTGTGTGTGTAAATACATAAATTACAAACTACATGATTGGCGCAGTGACTACAGTAGAACGTGTTCAAATTCACCGAACAAAATTGTACAGGTACTTTTGTACATAAGGAAATGTCGGGGGATGATGTATTGTGTTCACAATACATGACCTACGAAATTCTATTGCGGTACTACAGTACTACACTACATTGTATGTAGAAGTTAAATCATGTATGTGATGTTACTGTACAGATGCGGAATACGCGCGGTTCCCGCGGCTGTACCATCTGGACGACTACAGCTCGTGTCTGGCGCGGGAGGGGGGGCTCTACTGCCTCGGCTCCTTCCACCTCGCACCGCTCGCAGACAACACGCTCTACTCCATGCTTGAGGTGAGACACACTCAGCTTCATATTCAGCTCTTCGGACTTAATCACGGCTAGCCAAACTGTTAACAACATTTTTGGATTTTCTTTTTTTTTTGGGATAAGCCAGTAAACGAGGATATCTGATGGTAAGCAATCAGCGTCGCCCATGCCCACCTGGAACATCAGAGACGTTACAAGTGTGTTACCGGCCTTTTGGAAATTGGGAATTTCAGGATTGTGGGGGATTTAGGGATTGGGGAAACTGCGGAGACGGGGTATTTGAGACTCCGGTAACCTAACTCACACGACGAAACACAGCGCAACCGTTGCTTCACGTCGGTTTTCTAGTCTGCACGCCGGTCCGGCCCATAACGTGCCGATGCATGGCTCTCCCACACTTAAACGATTTATTCAATGTTCACCCTAATTGATGAGTCCTTACCAACTTTATTATAAACTGAATAAATTATATTCGGTCAATTACTTGTCTGATAAACATTTATTTGCGTATAGTTTATGATACATACGCCGCGCGTAAATGTCGAGTTGCATGCTATAAAATAAATATAGTGACCATAATAGCGACTTTTATGTTCATTATAAATTGTAGTTTTTGTACAGAATTACTTATTTTTTTGTTTTACATTCAGTTCGGGAGTTTTGCCATACGTAGTTTGTAACGTAGTAACCAGCGTTTACTAATGAACCTACTGGCGTGCAGGAGTACTCCAAGGAGCCGCACCACTTCAACCGCACGCAGCTCCACCGCGGGTACTGCGTGAGCTCGCGGTGCGGCGCGCTGGGCGAGCGCAACGTGTCGCGGCGGTTCGAGCGCTGCGCGGCGCAGTGGGCGCGGCGGCGGGGGCTGCGGGCCGCGCTGGCGCGCCTGCACTACTGCCGCTCGCACGCGCAGCACGTGGCGCGCGGCCGCAGCCCCGAGCCGCTCGACATCCCGCAGCGACTGTTCCTCTACGTGCTGGCGGGGCTCCTGGCGCTCAATGTGCTCGGCACCGCGTACGATGTTGTTACCGACGACCCTAAGAGTAAGACATCGCACACTTCTTATGAACCTTTATGAAGAACCTGGTCTCATTCCAAATTCACGTAATCTGTTTGTCGGTACAGAGAACTGGCTGAGCAGCTGGTCGATGCGGTCCAACTGGCGCCGCCTCACCGCTACACACGAGGACGGAGACCCACGACTCTCCTCCCTTTCACCCGTGCAGGGACTCAGGTACCCATCGCATCTGTAACTTAGTAACATCCTTAGCGAAAGATGTAGTAGGTTTACTACCTATTGCATTACGTGACACACCGCCCGGGCATTATAAACGAAGGTGCTTATTCAGTTTGCACACCACCTTAACAAATTCTTCACGGTGGTATTAGAACCGCGCTGAACATGATTCACATCTGACAGTAGGTGCTATACATTCCAGAGTGTTGCTGATGGTACTGACGATGGCCACACACAGCGCCTGCATCCAGGTCATGCTGTACGTCTACAACCCGAGGTGGATCGAACAGGTAACTGATCAAACCACCACTTATATTGAACTTTTTCTGTATTCGTTAGTTTGTGTAATAAATAAATGTTTATTGCATGGCATTGTTCCCAGATATCACGTCACCCGATCCTGATGCTGTTTCTGAATGGTACCTCAGTGGTGCAGATATTCGTGATGCTGTCCAACTTCCTGCTCGGCTACAACCTGCTCCTCTATGTCAAGGACCACAAGCCCTCCTTCAGCTTGCTCCCGTACATCATCATTAAGAGGATAGCCAGGTAAAGGCCGTCGGTCGCGCTGACGATCACTCGAACGACGAAGTTTTAATATAGATAGTTTTGTATTGAACTGAATGTAAAGAATATTTGTACAAGTAAGCAGCTGTCGGCAGGATCTCCCCAGTGTACCTGGTGGTGGTGGGGTACGCGGCGACGTGGTGGCCGCGCAGTGGCGCCGGCCCGCTGTGGGTCGCCTTCACCGGCGCCGAGAGCGCCGCCTGCCGCCGCAAGTTCTGGACACACGTGCTGTTCGTCAACAACCTCGTGGACCCTGGCGACATCTGTCTCGTGCAGACGTGGTGGGTGCCTGTCACATAGACGTGTCTGTGTGAGTGCAGTGTACCGAGCGTCCGTTGCGCAGGTTCCCGGCGGTGGACACGCAGCTGCACGTGGTGTCGGCGGCGCTGTGCCTGTGGCTGGCGCGGCAGCGGGCCCGGCGCCCGGCCCGCCCGGCCCGCGCCGCCCGCCTGCTGGCGCTGCTGGCGGCCGCCGCCAGCGCGCTCGTCGGGGGACTCGCCTACATCTTCCGCTGGGAGTCCATCGTGTACTACGCCTACCCCAAGTACGTCGCTGAATTTCTTCCCGTGTAGATACGAAAAAATGTCTTCATTAAAATAAGGCAGGAAGGCATTAGACTTACAATTGATTGGTTTGGTCTAGTCGTGTGCTCGTCTATTGATAAGTTCTTGAACCTATGTGCATATAATCTAAAAATACTGTAACGTAGTAACAACCGCTTTGTATTCCAGAAACCTGAACACAATGTACAAGGACATTCCATCATTCTCCTGGCTGTACCAGGCTCCGTGGGGCAGCCTCGCCGCCTGCCTCATTGGACTGCTGCTGGCATTTGTCCACTTTGAAATACAGGAGTCGGGAGTGAAGGTGACTTCTTTGAAGGTGAGTAAATATTATTGGTGTCAAACAGAATATTTAAAATACCTCGTAAGTCCTACTTAAGTGTCTGGCTATGAGATCAATCAATTCAATTTTGTATGAAATTGCTTTTGTATGAAACTTTTCAGTGCCATGGCACTGAAAAGTTTTCTTTGTGCTGGGTGAAGTCTAAGACTTTTGTATGAAATAGAAAATGTTGATGTGTTCTGTGTGTGCAGTGGGCGCCATGGTTGCGCAGACTATACAGTGCAAGCCCGGCGCTGATAGTGTCGTGGATCCTGGCCGGGACCTGGCTGCGCGGGTACAGCGAGCCCTGGTTCACGGCCCTGTACGTGGCGCTGGAGCGGCCCGTGCTCAGCCTGCTCGCCGCCGGCATGCTGCTCGGCATGATCAACGGGTTTGAAGGTGAGTTATGTCAAGTTATACCTCAATTTAATGATTATAGATCGCTCGATTAATTAAAAAATAGCGGAGCCATAGATAGAAACACGGGGATCGTGAAGTTTCAATGTCGTAACTGTATGGATGTCCAGGCTGCCTGAAGCACGTGCTGGCGTGGCGCGGCTGGCGCGCGATGGGGCGCATGTCGCTGTCCGTGCTGATGGTGCACTGGTGCATCAACGTCAACATCGCGGCCTCCCGCCTGCAGCCCACCACCGCGTCGCTGCTCAGCGTGGTGAGTCACCGCTGTACTAACATGGCTCAACTCAAATCATTTCAAATTGCTCTTAAACGGTAATAAAAAAATATATGTTCCAGTCAGTACTCAGTAGTGAAGTTAATTTGAGAATGTAGATTTCTGTGGAGAAAATCATTATTTTTACCAATTCAAATCATAAGGACACTTTAGACTGCAGATATTTCCCGAGTTTGTAACTTGACAGCGTCTTCCTTGGCAGGTCGTGGACGCGGTGGCGACGAGCTTCTGTTCGTACATGGTGGCAGTGCCACTTACCATCATGGTGGAGATGCCGGTGCAGAGGGTAGTGACGTCACTAATCGTCAATAGAGTGACCAAACAGTCGTAGCACACGAGCTCACGTAGGAAACTAGATTTTATAAAATTGTGCAATATTTGTGGTGCAATGGGTACTGTGATACCGCCTTACATTGTCGTTGTAATGTTGTCTAGCGAGCCGAGTGCCCAGTGCGACGTATTCAGCCATTCGATCGCACAAACGTTAACTCTGATTTGTATGGACTGGCAACGGCTGGGACTGTTAACGTTAAAGATCTTCGCACACCTACCAAACAAGGCTCCGGCACGGCTCCAACACCGCGATGTCATTCTCATTTAAACATGAACTTTGAATCGTATGTCATATGACATATTTCGTAACGTCAATCTATATAAGCTATAAGCACGCATTTTTGTATGGTTTCCAAAAAAACGCCGCCGGAGCCGTGCTTGTTAGGTGTGCGATGACCTCAACTCGACCAACGTTATGGCGTTCAGCGCGCACACGACCAACCAATCAAAGAGCTAAACGTGGTAACGTTTCGATAACTCATAATTAGCACTCTGATGTTTGAGTGACAATGAAATCCCAGGACTTTGTCACAGCACAATCTGTATGTAGATAATATTGGGAACTGTGCTGTGATCACTGCAAGGAACATGTCTGTGTACGATGGGAAGGAACGACGACCATGACTCGAACCGTTCCGTGATATAAATATCATTGTTGTGTGATTATTGCACTAGTGCAATACTGACTGCCTGTTGTACACATACATTTGTGTCAGTAGACACAGATGCAGTTTGTTGGCGACTGATATATCTAACATTTGTATTGTAACTTTCGTGAGACATACTAAATAAATTATTATGTTTTCGGCTTACTCACGTAGTAATTTGAGGAGGAACTCGACTAATTGCAAGCCATGCTACGACCCGCGACGCCGCGTCGCTGGTCGCGAAATGCTGCTCATGAATATGAGCCTCTAGCATGGCTTGAAACTAGTCGAGTTCCTCGTCAAATGATATATCGAATATTGTATTTGTACAGTTCATTCAACCAACCAACCAGGGTTTGTATATGTCGCAACTCAATGCCTTATTTACTGCCGATTAATAATCTTGCCACTAAGTATAGGAAGAAAACAGGATTCCCTATGTTTTACGGCTTTCTCACTTAAGGTAACTCAACTGGTTTCAAGTTAAGCTTGGGGCTCATAGTTATGACATTGCTCGACAAACAATTAGGTACGATGAAAAATTAGGTCTCTAATCATCATTTCGTGAATCTTTTGTTAAAATATAGCAGAAACTAACTAACCTACGTCAACATAATTACTATTATGACTTGGACACAAAAATATGTCTTGTCTTGTTATTGCATTTATTCAGCTGTTTGAATTTGTATTGTTTGTGGGTAATTGTAAGCTGCGACATAATTATTATGATGATGGAACTGTGACGGTAGTGATAGCTTATAGATTTATTATAGGTATAAGTATAAGTCTGTTATTTAGGTAATTATTGTATGGAAATAAAGATTACATTGATTTTTATTGCTTTTTTATTATACACTGTGTACAAGTCATGGGTCGCCGCCAGGCTCTTCCTGACCAAAGCACCACCCCGTTCCTACTCTTTTTTTAAGGGGAAAATCATCGAATGACTTTTCCCGCCTGAGTGAGGCGGGAGGGAGTGTCAGGCTCTTACTGACTAAAAACCACCCCGTTTCTACTCCTGCACTTCGAGCCAACAACCCGTTAAGTCCTCCGCGGCTCCATATCCGCTCCGCGACGCACCGTAGGTACGCTCGGGTCTGGTTCTGGTCACCCCTGTCACTGTGCGAGTCACCCCTGGTCCTACTCTTACTTCCAGCTCCGGTAACCCGTTAGGCTAATTGCAGCTTCAGGTATAACCAAACAGCTGCGAGCTGCCAGTCACCAAGGTTTTTTTGTTGTAGCACTCTAGTACAGGTCACTGAGTCACAGCAGATGTTCGTTTTGCCCTTCCAAATAGCCCAATGGCTATGTACATTGTACAAGTGTCAATAGTTCAATACATTACTGTACTCACTGCCAATGGTCATACACCTGTACTAATATTATAAAGTAGAACTTAACCTATTAGTTATGTATTGTTTGCCGACGATGACATCGGTCACACCTGTATCTTTATTTATTTCTTGATTGCATCGAACACATAGAGAACGACGAAGAGTTTATAGAGACATGCGGCGTGTGATAGACACCTTGCTAGTAGTTGGGGTAGTTTTACTTAGCACAGTTAATATGGCGTAAGCAGAGTGCACATACGTTATGTAACACCCATTGTTCACTAGTTATGTAATGAGTCCCGTGTAGTAGTAAGACCTACTACATATGTATAATTACATATTCAGTAATATCACTGAGAAATTAAAAAAAGAATAAAACATCGCAATGATACTATGCCCATCCGGGAAGCGAATCCAAGATGCCCGAGATCACTTGCTCTTCAGTTGCACTTGCGACCACTCCATCGACGAGGCAGTATAATAATTTAAATATTATTCCCAGTTCCCAGTTATTACATTTCTCGGTTCCCAAACGCAACCTCCAAAAAAAACATACAAATTGATTTAGTTTCTCTCATACAAAAGAAATCCAACGCAAGGCGACAACGAAACGCGGACTGGCGAACTCCATTTTATGACAATCATAGGTTTCTGTACGAGGTTTACCTTCACCGTATGTCAATGGTGTATACTCTTGGAACTTGCAGCTTTTAAATCTTCCCTACCTACCTTCATTACCCAACTTGTATAGAGTATTTTAACCTCCGAGCCACTACTATAATACGGAATAGTGTTTCCCGCAGGCTTAGGATATGACCTAAGTGTCTTCAAGGCCCGAGTGAGGAGGTTGCTTTTGGGCAGCCGTGCTCCATCGTAGGCATAATCCTTTACCATAAGCCCAGTTAGTGGCCAAACGTCTACCCATTACATGTATACTGAACTAAATAGAACCTTGTAAAAAATAATTCTTTTATATATATGTAAAACTAGCTTCTGCCCGCGACTTCGTACGTGCAATCCCGTTTTCTCCCGTTTACGTAGGATTTTCAAGATTTTTTTTCAGTCGTAAGAACCTTCTCCTGACAATAACAAACACAACAGAAAAAATCAGCCAAATCGGTCTAGCCGTTCTCAAGTTATGGCGTGACAACGGGAAACGGATTATATTTTTATATATAACTATATAGACTACGTTTAAAAACCGACTTCCACCTGCTATTATCTGAAAGTCGGTGATTTAATATGCTAATACTTTCACATAAGTGTATGTTACACTGTGTTGTAACATACACTAAACTTTTGTGGACACTGCATCAAAATCAGTTCAGCCAATCGGGAGATAATCGCGCACGCACATGCATGCATACAGGTTAAACTGAGAACCTCTCTCTTTTTTGAAGTCGGTTAAAAATATATTACTCATTCGTATTGACATAGATAATGCGTAATTAAGTATTATGTTATTATTGTAGTTGAAAACAACACACAGGACGTACGTCACTTGATGAGGTGTGAACAATCCCCTGCTTGCATAGGACACCCCGGTGTTGTCCTCGCTGTGTGCGCAGCTGCAGCGCGCCGTATATATATACTGCAGCCCGCGCAGCGTCAGGCACAGCTCGCCATCATCACCGCCACCATGAGGACCGCTGCACTGATACTGGTGAGTACTTAGTACTTACTCGTATATATTTCTGAACTCTACACTTGCACTGGGTCTTTCGTGGGTTCTTTTACAAACACATAAAATGGAAAATGTGATTATATTAATTTTTGTCTATCTGTCTCTCTGTCTGTCTGTCTGTCTGTCTGTCTCTCTGTCTGTCTCTATGTTCGCGCATCACGCAAAAACAAACGGTTCGATTACGATGCAACTTGGTAGAATTGTACTTTAATATCTTCGGCACAGTACTGGGTATTTTTTATTCAGAAAAAGTATATACGTAGGTACACAATTACTGCACCAAATGTAAATATAAGTTTGTCGAATGTAAGGTTGTCCGCAGTGGACTTCACGCTGTAACTGTACAGTCGACGGTTGAAATTAGCTTGAACCGGTATCACCAGTGCCGTTACAAGTACAAGTTACCGGCCTTTTAGGGATTAGAAGTTTGAGGATCGTTGGGGATTCAGGGATTGGGAAGATTGGGGAAGGGGAGGGTAATTGGGCCCCCGGTAACCTCACTCACACGAAGAAACACAACGCAAGCGTTGTTTCACGTCGGTTTTCTGTTCGGCCGTCACTCCGGTCGAGCCGGCCCATTCGTGCAGAAGCATGGGTCATACTTAAAACACCTAAAAGTTACAAATATAATGATTGTTTATTATGTAAAGTTAATAAATAATATTTACATGCGTATTGATTTCAGGTAATCGCCTGCGCTGGATACATAACAGGATTCACTATTTCTAAACCTGATGTGGTTGGGGGTTTAGTAAAAATTAAAGATGGTCTAACTGACCTGTTACCTAGTATAGACCCAGGAACCGCCACTGCACCAGCCCCGGCTCCCACCAACTCTACTACAAATAGTACTGCGCCAGCACCCGCACCAGCCATCAACGATACGGCGCTACCAGTGAGCGCGGTGCCCTCCGGCAACCTGACTGATGCTCTGGGCAACTTGACCAACAGCACAGACCCGGCATCGGTGCCCATAGGCGCGGTGCCAGTGCCCTCCGGCAACCTGACTGATACTCTGGGCAACTTGACAAACAGCACAGACCCGGCAGCGGTGCCCATAAGCGCGGTGCCAGTGCCCACCGGCAACCTGACTGGTGCTCTGGGCAACTTGACCAACAGCACCGACACGGCAGCGGTGCCCATAAGCGCGGTGCCAGTGCCCACCGGCAACCTGACTGAAGCCGTGACCAACCTGGCCGGCAACGACACGGCGGCAGCACCCGCGCCCTAGTGCCGAGAGCGGTAAACTCGACACTTAACGTGTCGGTTCAAAGCTATAAACTAAAAAAATAAACTCTGTGTATATTAGAATGTTTCATTTCTAACTTTTTATTCAATAGATCGACTTTTCTGCGGCATACATAATTGGGTACTTGCAGCTAGTCAAATTTAATACTTTTTCGAACTCAGAAAAGCGACAGTTTTTTATAAATTTTTCACGAGATTGTGTATTGTGACGTCATATTTTTTAGCATCAAACAGCATTTTTTTAAAAAAAAACGTTGCTGGAATAATGCTAAAATTAAGTTAGTCATAAAATCAATTACTGAAAGGGTATAATTTTTGTTGTTTTCTTTTTTTACTTTCGTTTTATTTAATAGTTTAGTTGTAGTTAATTTTAAGTTGTAAATATTTATGTAGTTATTTGCCTAATTACTGAAAGTGTGATAATTTTTAAATATTTTATAGTAATGAACAGTCGACATAATTTATTTTTGATTGAAAGTGTGGGAGAGCCATGCTTCGGCACGAATGGGCCGGCTCGACCGGAGTGATACCACGGCCTCACAGAAAACCGACGTGAAGCAACGCTTGCATTGTGTTTCGTCGTGTGAGTGAGGTTACCGGAGGCCCAATTTCCCCCCCCTTTCCGTAAGTGTGGGAGAGCCATGCTTCGGCACGAATGGGCCGGCTCGACCGGAGTGATACCACGGCCTCACAGAAAACCGACGTGAAGCAACGCTTGCATTGTGTTTCGTCGCGTGAGTGAGGTTACCGGAGGCCCAATTTCCCCCCCCTTCCCCAATCTCCCCAATCCCTGAATCCCCAACAATCCTCAAACTCCTAATCCACAAATAGCCGGTAACGCACTTGTAACGCCTCTGGTGTTTTTCCATCCTTTCCATCAGGTGATCCGTCTGCTCGTTTACCGGCATATGCCATAAAAAAAAAAAAAAACCATGGAAAGTACCCAATTGTGTAACACCGACTATTCGTTGGCGGAGTTTACAAACGTTACCTTCTGATTAAACTTTCTCGTAACAATTTCTTCTAGTTAGTTGATGTGATTGAAAATATCAAAGACTACCGACCCGCCCCGGCTTCGCACGGGTGTAATATGCATGTATTATACATATAAACCTTCCTCTTGAAGCACTCTATCTATTAAAAAAGCCGCATCAAAATCTGTTGCGTTGTTTCAAAGATTTAAGCATACAAAGGGACATAGGGACAGAGAAAGCGACTTTGTTTTATACTATGTAGTGATGAAGAATTTATGCGCTAAGTACTTAGATAATTCTGCAGGCGTAACGGTAGCGGTCGTATACTTGCATCCATTGACATGGTTGAGGGTTGAGAGGTGAAAGTCCCCTTACTCAACTGAATTTGTAGTCATGGGAAAATGAATGTCTCTAAATAAGAGCAAGGAAATAATATTCCTTATAAATGTTCCTTATCTTTTATCAAACTTGAAACTAACTAAATATCTCCTCTTCTCTACGCATGATGGTTGGGAGACGGACAGTATTGTGTTTGAAGCTCACCCCCACTATGTTTATGTAATTGCAAACCAATCTATCTTACCGTCTCCAAAGCTACTGGTCCAGTTTTGATGTGATGTATGGTAATATACACCTAATAAACGAAAGCATTGAGTATTATGCGCGAAGGAACTAATAATTACTTGTTTACGATGTCATCTACAGTTTTTGTTTGTTTGTTTACGTCAATGCCTCATATACTGCGCTGCCTAGATACTGGACATAGTACCGCGCTGCTACTGGTTACTGAGTTAAAGCAAACAAGTTTTTACACTGGTTACTGGACAGAGAGTTCTGGAACTCTTGTTGTTTTCCATTGATTAATTATATCTGGAAACTATTGGATTGGTAACAAACATCATCACAATGTAAAACCTTGTTAGAAAACTAATCCCCGTTTTCTCTAACCTCTCTAAAATAAGGAACCCCTAAGCTGCGGTTTGATGATAGTACCGTTCCTATAGGCTAACATTAAACAGGTGACACTTAACGACATTTTGGTTTTCACCAACCAATAAATTTAAAAAAGATACAGGTAAGGAGTAAGTTTGGGTGTCTCTCATGCTAAGTAAGTCTTAGTTAAGAGATGGTTTAGGAGCTGTGCAGGCTGCACTAGTGCATAGTATGCACGTACTTGTAAGGAAAGCTTTCAGTCGGGCCTGAATATTGTTTCGTTCGTAGTATAATAAGATTCAAAATAAGTTTTTAAGGCGTAGGACGTCCGTCCCGGTTACAATTAGTCGATCCTTCCGAAGGATCACCTGATGGTAAGCAATCGGCGCCGTCCACCGTACACCTCCAACACCGTAGGAGTTACCTACTTTTCAGTTTTTTTAAATACTGCCTCGTTGGCCGAGTGGTCGCAAGTACGACTGCCGGGCAAGGGGTCTCGGGTTCGATTCCCGGATCGGGCAAAGTATTACTAGGTTTTTAAAAATCTCAGTAGTAGCACGGAGTCTGGAAATGTGCCCGGTATATGGCAATAGGCTCACCCTCTATTACATGGGACTCGTAACATAAATAGTGAAAAGTGGGTGTTACATTGTACAGTCGCATTAAGTGCCGTAATGTGCAGGGATAAAAAGGCGTGATGTTATGTTATGTCTAAAGTTTTCCAGCCTTGCATAAGTCTCTGTTTTCGGCATGATACATGTTAAAGTACTATTAACAAAGGGTTTTTTAAAGGAGGGAAAATCATCGAATGGCTGCTCCCGCCTGGGCGAGGCGGGAGGGAGTGTCAGACTCTTACTGACTAAAAACCACCCCGTTCCGTCTCCTGCACTTCGAACCGGAGCCCCGGTAACCCGTTAGGTTCTCCGCGACAATAACAACGGGTTGGATTTAATATTTCTGTCAAACTTATCATGACATGGCTAACTGTTTACTATTGTAGGTACCTATAATAACTGTTAATTTAATTTTTTGTAGATACTTACATGTTGTTTACATGTCCATGTGTTGGTTACGTGTAATTAATGATATGTTTGTAGAACATTCTACACAGTAATGACGTGAATCTAACAAACTATACGAGGTACCTAGACAGCATTAGTCCTGTTGTTTTTTTGGAAAATTCCACGTAGGACAATGGAGCCAGTGTAACAGTAACACACTGGAACTGCCGGGCAATTACCGACATGTGTCTATACTACATATATTATGTATTGTGTGTATGTATAAGCTTATATTCGAACTTTTCAAAGTCAAAGTCAAAGTCAAAATCATTTATTTCAATTAGACCAGAAAGGGACTTTCGAATGTCAACAATAAAATTAAAAGTAAAGTGAAGTGAAGTTGCCTTTTTAAAATTCCTTAATGTCTCTAATCAAAGACGTCTATCAATCAAAATCACTTTCATCGTCACTAGATACATCAAGTAGCCTAAATAATTCTGAAATCAATTTGAGAACAGATTTTGTCATTTCATGAGACCTCATCTGTCGAATCATTACGTCGTCAATCAAGAGTCTCAGGTTCAGTTTTTGTGCTTGGCTAAATGTTCTGTTATTGGATTTAAACTTTCAGGAGTCTTAATAACGGCTAGTGCATAAGGGTTGAACTCTATAGCTTTTCTGTTATGTTATAATAATATAACCCAGTCATCCCCTACCGAGGATAACTTAAAGTTCACATCACAGACGTACACATTAACTACCTCAACGAGGGTCAGTAAGGACGAGCACAGGACTCGAAGCTGTAGCACGTCGTCAGTCGACAACGCATGTCCGAGCCTCTATCGGAGGTCAGCAGTTATATAAAAGTGGACGCGAGTCGCCGGCGACCGACAGTCAGCTACACTCTCCATATGATTACTATTCATAAATAATTAACTGTCAAAGGTTAAAATCACAACATCAACCAAAGGTTAAAATCAGTATATCTGAAAATTAAATAAGAACAAAAATAAATAATAGGGTAAGGGAAAGAAGTGTAGTGTATTCTATACAATTCGTCGGTATAGTGGATTATGTTTGTGCTGGTGGTTCTAGCAGTGGTGACATCTACCGTCACTGCTCTGCAGGTTACTGGTAAGCTGCATCTGCATCTATAGATTTACTAAACATGACCTAAATTAAACATAGCTACGATTTTAGTACCTAAGCTACAGTTTATTTATTAAACTACCACTAGCAACATTTGCCTAGTACACGGGGGCTCCGATTATAAGCAGGAGTAGGAACGGGGTGGTTTTTAGTCAGGTAAAAGTCTGACACTCCCTCCCGCCTCACCCGGGCGGGAGAAGTCATACGATGATTGTTCCCCTTACAAAAAGCCTATTGTGACATTATGTGATACTAGCTGTGCCCACGACTTTGTCCGTGTGTAATAGTGATTCACAGCTCCTCCCCCGTAGGTGATAGCGTGATAATATGTAGCCTGTGTCATGTGTCAATGACCAAAGAATTTCTTTCATCATTGCTATAATGATGTTGACCCGACTTGTTAGTAATATTCATGGAAAATTTGAAGTAAACCCATGCACCTACCCCGAGTACTTTTTGAGTTTAGACCGGACAGTGATACAGACAAACAGACAAAAATTCTATAAACCATACTTTTGCCTTTGATATCGATTGTAGATCACGCTCCAAGCATTCGTTTAATAAAAAATACATTCCATTTACAGTTTTCACTTTCCTACGATTTTAATATATGAGTATATTTTTATTGTATGCATAGATATAGATTTCCCGCTGAGTTGGTAGTTTGACATTCTGAACTTCCCGAATTTGTATAGATAAAGTTCATTCATACAACATTAATTAGTGACTAGTGTTATATGAACCAGAACTTTAGGTAATTTCATAACTAATTAAACATCTGAGACATAGGCTAATTACTTTTAGTATTTTCTACTACATAAAATAAAATGAAGGCTAAATGAATAATTCGATACTTTAGTGCGCGAAATTGCAAACGGAAGCAAACTCTACAAATGCAAATAGCTTATAGCATTAATAATTTATTATTGTCTATTATATTATTATGTCTATAGCGCGGTCATTAGCCACCCACTATGCAC